TTAAACTTATAATTCTATAACATCAAGAAAATGAGAAGATTCTCAAATCAAATATGGCAAACAATTGTGATGTTTCAATAACACTAGCAAAAAATCTAGTGTAATACCATATACGTGAGCTAGATAAGAGAGTGACAAGATAGATGAGAGGGAGGTGAGGACACGAAATTTGTCTATGTATCTTAGATACATGTGAATCTACTTGGATAAAGTGTATCTAGAACAAATTAACCTAATTTTGAGTCCATATGTTTTGAGATACATGTATCTGGACGTACCAAAATCTCTTAAGATTCATAATATTACAATATAGCATATATTTAAATAATTAGATTATATACTAGTGAGATTATTGTAATTTACCATTAAATAAAAAGTTTTGGCCCATGGGGCGATCCCAATCCGGCCATGATGAAGCCTCAAGGGTCAAGGGCTTATATGAGCCTGACTTATAAGCCCTAGTTTTAAATAGGCTTGAAAAATCATATCCCAATTTTATCCCAATAATAGATTGGGTTGGACCGGCCCCATTAGCTAAGCCCGTTTTGACGGCCCTGTTCCCTACAAACAAGAAAATAAAATTTGAAAACATAGAACATCAAGAGAAATTTATTCAACAACTAGACATTCACTCTCTTTTTTTCCTTATTGCAGCTTTGACCGAAAAAAAAAATACATAATGAAAATAAATAATCCTTTCACCCAAAAAAAAAAAATATACTTTTAAATCTTAGTAGTTCAATTGATTCACTATTATTATTAAGGGAGTCCGAATCTCCCTCTTCCTGTTCTTCTTCAATATTGTCTTCGAGAAAAACGTATTTCATATTATGTGACACCCGACATCGGTACTAGCACCAATATAACCTTTATTGGTATCAACTTCTTTATTTTCTATCTTTTTCATTGTAATATTTTAAAAGTGTTTCATCTTTATCGCTAGATTTGTTAGAAAATAAACAAGATTTTTAAAAGAAAAAAAATAAGGTTTTTTAATGAAATTACTCAAGAAATGGATTTGAAGAGATCTCATATTCAACGATTGTCATGAATATAAACGTCTTTGAATCCCGCTTGGGACTCCATTTTATCGTGTATATCTACGCCAACACATCAAAGAAAACAAAAAATCTTTCCGATTTGACATACGTTTATCGTATGAGATAATAAGTATTAAAAACACTGTTAAACTTGGCATGAATTATTACTTTAGTCCTCTAACTATATTTGACAGCCTTAAAAACACACATCTACTTGGTCGATCAGAATGTCCTTATTTCACAGCGCTATAACATTCTCAAGTTAGAGTCTGACTATCTCTATTCTAAGTAGCACCCGAGAAAGCACACGCTAAGCAGATCTTTACCAAAGCCATATCTCCATAAGCATCCAAAGCTGCCTACTCATTGGTAGTGAAAAAGCAAGAACATAGATATGTTTACGAAGCCAAGAGCCACTCATCTGAGCCAGCGGATTCGAATTCTGCTATGCCGGTGCACAAAGCAAGCACACAAGGACTGCGTAAATCTTTGGTCTGTCTATCATTGCCCATGTTGGGCTGACTCCTTTTTTTAGGCAAGAGGACCCCTACTGATATTGACTGACCTGTTGATAGGCTATAAGTAGGCCGTTTGCTATTGCTATAAGGGCTGCTCGCCTTTATACGGCTTGGCTTCGCTATCGCTCGTAATGGTCGACAGTATTCCTGCCATACCTGAATTCCTATTATTTAGAGCTAGAAGCTTCGCCAGAAGCAAGCAAGATGAGGTCGCTCTGCTTCGTAGACAAGGCTCGTTCCGTACTTTACTTACGAGCTCGTGTAGTACTCACCCCTATCTCTAAAGGGGCTTATGCACTCCACTCGCTGTCTACTAAACGAGCGTTAGAGCGAGCGAGCGAAGCTCTCAATTTAGTGGCTTCCCTCAACCTCCTCTTTCATTTCCGCTTAAGCTTCCCCGGTTTGTGGGATTAATTGATTGGATACCCGAGAGCCATAATCTTTCCTAGGAACAGCTTCTACGACGATAGGCATAAAGGCATGATTAGTTCCACAAATCTCACTGCACTGACCATAGTAAACTCCTTCTCGTTGTACCGAAATACCCTTTAAGTGAATTTAAAAACACCCCTCTTATGCCACATGTGCATATATGTAGAATTTTCTGCTGACGCGGCATACACATAAATATATGTTATAGTAAAAATATTTAAAGAACATTTATATAATCAAATGTAATTTAGCAATTTAAGAAGATAAAAAAACTTCTTTTTTTCTTTTTAAAGATTTTCTTTTTCTAATCACCCCACCCCATCCTCTAACTAGTACCCCTAGCCTCACACCTCACTACCCAACCACCCCAAATAAGATTCTTTTAATTAAACCCCCTTTTTTTAAGGGGAGAGGGGTGGGATAAGAATAAAATATATACTTATTTTATTTTAAAAGTAATTTTTTTGGGGGTGGGGGAAGGGGGTGGGGTGGGGAGGAGTCGGGGTAC